GGGCCAGGGTAGGAAGGAGTCTCTTCAAGCAGGTTAGCGTCACTGTGGCAGTACTGGTTGTTGATCTGCCCAAGTTTATGGCCCCTGCTCTATGAGGGCTGGGAAATTAGAGATGCGTAAGTCCAACGTCTCAAAGTGCAACCCACAAGTCAGTTGCATCTATGTCACTTAGAGGCTTATTAGAAGTGCACATTCTTGCATGCCACCCCAAAACCTACTGGGAAGGGGGACCCGGCACACTTTAATGAACTTTCCAAGAGATTCTGATGCATGTTGTGATTTGGGAACTGCCTTGGGAGTCAGACACACCTAGGTTTGAATGCTGACACTACCACCATCTGGCTATGTGACTTTGGGCAAGTCACTGCACCTCTCTGAATATCAAGTTCCTCATCTATAAACTGAGGCATGGGAGGTTAGAGGGGTGGTCTATAAGGCACTTGCTTTCTAGCTACAATTTCTTCTGGTCCCTCCACAAGGCAGAGTCTGTCTTGCTTCTTGACTTTGAAACAGGCGTTTTTGTCTGCTTGGGACATTCTTTCTGTTCCCTCTTTCTGTCTGGCACCTACATAAGTTAGACCTTAGCCACAAGTTTATTTCCTCCAGCAAATTGTCTTATTTTTAATACCTCCTCCTTCACATCAAATCTAGGTTAGATACCTCCCTCTGTATTTGGTTTATCATAGAACTTTTCATATTACTGTAATTTATTTTTTCATGTCTGTAGTCTCTCCGAGGGCAAAAACTCTTCCGTGCTGACTGTTATTCCCTTAGTGTCAGACACACAGTGTTTACACAAGTAAAACTTGAGGTGAGAGTCAATTTGATTAAATGTCTAGAATTCTTGGTTCTGATGGATTTCACGAAGAGACCAGTGGAGGGGTTGGCCTTCATGCATGGAAACACATGGGGGAAACTGAGGAGGTACTAGCAGACTTGGGGATACAGTGGCTGAGGATTTGAAGTGAAGACACTGTGGGATTGGGGAACAGACGCTCTCTAATAGATCTCCATGGGGCTGAGGGGCCCATTTGGTATCAGCACTAGATAGTGTGATACACTCACCTCCAACACTCGGAATCCAGTCTGCCACAGAAGAACAAGATAATGTGATGGCATGTGGCCAATACTCACAGAAAGAAGTCCTTCCTAGCATCCCCAGGGCAGACATTTTGCAGAGAGTAACTTAGCTTGTATTTATTTATTTGTGTATTTATGTATTTATCCTGGACAGGAGTGTGGACCTCTTTGACAAATAGATGGATGCTCTGTTAGATGGGGGAGGGGCACAAAGACAGAAACATTCCCCACCGTTGACCTTGCCACTCATCGTAGGTGGTGAGGTTGCTTTTTGGATCCAGTTGTTGTAAGGGAGATAAAAGCATCGGGTAAGGGGAAAGGTAGGTTTTAATACTCTGTGTCTCTCCAAGACCTGGCGTTTTAAAGCTTGGGAAATAATAGCAATGACCCAATTTAGTAATGTGAAGGCAAGACAGAGCCATTTTCACAGGCTTAGTCATTTCTTCCTTGTGCTGTTTCTCTCCCCCTTTCCATTTGTGTCTTCTCCCACTGCAAATAGACGAGGTAATAATCCAGTGTTTTCTATGGAGCATGGCAAACATGCTATATATAAGACACAGTTGAACATTCTGTGAGTGTAATTGGAGCATAAATGTAACTAATCAAAATATTATCATGCCAACGGATGTGTGAAGAGTTTGGAGATTTAAAAAAAATATATTTTAGTTCCATGTCATTTCCATTTAGAGCTGCAGAAGCAAAGGACTCAGCCCAATGAATGTCAAGAACAATTTGGGGTCTGACAATGTTCCCGGCAGCCCCGTTGTTCTCTTAACTCTTAATAAGGCAGCAGCTTGCCAGCTGATTTAATCTTTGTTCTTTCCTCCCATTCTTTGCCCTTCTTCCTACGTGAACCAGCTCTCCAGGGCAAGGCCAGCTCACTCCAAGAAGCTTATGATCACTCCTTCCCATCAAATACGACATGCCCACTTATGGCATGGAGCCTGGAGCTGAGTGATAATTAGAACTTTCTGGGCTTTGAATCCTGGCTCTACTACCAGCTGTGTGGCCTGGGGAAAGTTACTGAACCTCTCTGTGCCTCAGTTTTCTTATCTGTAAGAGAAGACCGATAGGGTTTACATTAAAATTAAATGAATGAATCTAAGTAAAATGTGATAGCAAGTGTTTGCCATGACTGTTAAAAGCATGAGTGACTAAGAAGAGACAGGAAATCACATGAGAACGTAGAACAAGACCCCAGGAGAAAGGTCTCTCCTCTCCAGCCCTTCTTCAGGAGAAGCCTAGGCAGAAAACCCAAGGCATCCCTGGCTCCTAACTCACTAGTTGTGTAGAGTCATGGAAAGTCACAGCAAAGTCTTGGAACCACCCACTTCTATGTCTAGAAGGAACTTTAAACACTCTACCTGCACACCTGTTTTGCAGGTAAAGAAACAGAATTCTTGCTCACAGAGGCACTGCTGGCTAAAGTATGTGCTTAGGAAGGGGTAGAAAGTCTGGGGAGACTGGCATCATCTGACCTTCCGTGGTATCTTGATCTTGCCAAACTAATGGTGCTGTTTCCAACAACAAAGAACAAATCACACATGACCTTCTGTTTTGCGATTTATGTAGCTGAGTTGTCATCCTGTTGTGTTTGGGGTTCCACTGTTTTTTCTACAGTAACATTCAGTTGCCCTCTTGGGATGCTGAGACCTCATGTTGAGATATTGGTGGAGGCAAGTTATGAAATGATCGAGGGTGAAGACATAGGTCCCCATGTGCCCTACGGAGTACCCCCAGGTCTGTTTTCATCACACAATCACTGTAAGGACCAAAAAAAGAGAATGCCAGGTGAAATGTTTTTATATTGGCTTTCCTTTTTGATTGGGAAGTCAAGGGGATGCCAGGTTATTAAAAGGTTGTTCGTGGTTTCAATTATTCTGCTTTGTCACCACATCTTTCTCCTCTGCTCTCTTTTCTCCCTACTCAGTATTCTCACCCTCACCTATGTTTTCCTTTCCCTACTTCTCTACCTCCTCTTCCCCTGTCTTCCTTTGTCCTCCCTTCTTTCTCTCCATCTGTCCTTTCTCTTTCCCCTCCTCTCATCTTTTCCATGACTCTTTTGTTTTCTCCCTCTTTTCTTACTTTTTCCTCTTTCCCTTCCCGTCTTTCTCTTTTCTTCCTCCCTCTTCCCCTCTACCTTCATCTTTTTCTCAGGAAAGTGGAAGGAATGCTGGGGGCCTAGGTATTTGGTCTTTGAGGGAAAGACCCATGTGTACATAAACCTTTGCTGGCTATGCTTGAGTTGGGGTGTCAAGCATGGGTTAGCACAGAACCACTTCCACCAGCTCCTTCAAACGCAATCACGCGGGGTTAATATAATTTTTAAACTACATTATCCACACCTACCTGGATTATTAGATAGCTGTTTCTTGGAAAATTACCTTAGCCAATTTGCATATGAAATACTTAAACCCCAATTTATTGGTTTGAATGAATGGTTACAGAAATACTTATTGCTTGTTCACACAAACTGATTGACAAAGTGTTCACAGTACTCAGTTCCTCTGGAATTTCAGGATGTGTTTTCCTTGTTTTAAATAGTTATTATATATCCATTAAGCTGTAATTAACACTGCCTCCCCATTTTCTAGTGTATTAGAAAAGAAACAAATTTCTTTTTTTGTAGACACCTGATAATTAGATTGCTTTCATAGCTAATAAGAATAATGTTGAATATGTTTGTTAGTATGGCTATTGGTTTATTATTATTGGCTTCATGACTACTGGTTTTCCTGGTAATACTAGCAGAACTATGCATTTCTCTTACACATACATTTTCTTACTTGAAAGTGCCTTGTGCCTTTTGATGCTTTCGTGTCCCTTGCACTTTTATTATGACCAGACAGCTAAATTTCATCATTATGGACTTTTAAATCAGGACTTGTCCAAGATAGCTCAAATAAAAGTATACACTCTGATGTATAGGAACAGTAATGCAGGAGTGACTGTTCTCTGGACATTAGTGAAAGCCATACATAGTAAGTGGCATTTCAGGAGTAGTAAAAGACCTTGGTGGGACTAGGTAGTGTGAATTTCAAGAAGGGCATCACCTAGCAAAAACCCACAGGCAGGGAAGTGCACAGGATGTTTGGAGTGTATATTAGTTTGGTGTTACTGCTGTAACAAATTACTACCTATTTAGTGACTAAAATCAATACAAATTTTCATTCTTAGAGTTCTAGAGGTTAAAAATCCTAATGGTTCACCTTGGGCTAAACTCAAGGTGTTATCAGAGATACATTCTCTTCTGGAGGCTCTAAGGGAGAATCCATTTTCTTGCCTTATTTCTAGTTTCTACAGGTCACCGGTTTTTTTCAGGTTTTTTTGGTGGAGGGGCTCATATCCTCTTCCTCCATCTTCAAAGCAAGCAGTATAACATCATCACATCTCTCTCTAACTCTGATTCTGACTCTCTAACCTTTTTTGTCCACTTATAAGGACCCTTGTGATTATATATTGTGCTCACCTGAAAAATCCAGAATACTTTTTCCATCTTAAGGTTATCTACTCAATAGCCTTAATTCCATCTGTACCTTTAATGATCTTTTGTCATGTAAGGTAACATATTCACAGGTTCTGGACACTGGGATGTGGACGTCTTTGAGAGGCCGTTATTCTGCCTACCACAGAGTAGATGAGGGCCGTGTACATGTAGAGTCTTTGCACACAAGGCATGTAGGAGGCTGCAAATATCTTCATGAAAGACCTTGAACTTCAGAGGAAACAGAGTTTACTATAAAGGAAAACTTTAGTGGAAGTAGAGATGGTACTGACTGCTGTTTTATCGGATAGTAAAATAACCAAGGCCTATACTGGTTAGGAAGTTGTTGCAAAAGTCCTTGCAAAAGTCACTGAAACTTGTTGCAAACAAAAAGTCCATGTTATGAATGCCATGGACTTGAACTAGGCCAATAGCCATGGGAGTGGAAAGGAAGAAGAGGATCCAAGAATGTAAGGAGGAATCTCCAGTCTTGATGCCTAGTCAGTTGTAGGAGGTGGGGATGGACAGCAGATTTTATTCTGTTTCTTAATGGATTCCTTGCTATTTTCTTCTTCAGTCTATCAAGGTCTCCCTGCTATATTGAAAAACAAACTTTGGAGATATGGGAAAGACAGAAAAACTCTTTTTGAGAACCTACAGTGCAGCAATTTTTATCTAGACACTTTATAAATGCCATTTCATTTAATCTTCCTGACCACAATATGAAATGTGTTTTTATGGCCATTTTATAGAAGAGGAAACTGAGTCTCAGGAGTTTAAGTGATTTGTTTGAGAAAATTAGAGAAGAGGTGTCACTGGGATTCCAGTTCAGGGCAGTTGATTCCAGGGGCCCCAGGCTAGAGACTCAACAAATAGTAGTTGAACTGCATGCCAAAACTGAGGCTGGGGGTGCCTTCCCTCTGTACACATGCTTCCCTTAAAAGTCATATAACATTCCTACAGCATTTCTGCTTCCTGAGGGAGAGAGAGTTATATTTTCCTTTTAAATAGCTCTTTGGTAAAGCATTCCTGTTGTACAACTCAGGTAAGAAAGCACAGAGTTGTTTGTTGCAGAAAACTGAAATGGGAATCAGAAAATCTAAGTCTAAATTTTCATTGTGTTATGTGACCTTGAAGAAGTCACTTGATCCCCACCGAAGTTAATAAAATGAATAGGTTGGGTTAGTTGAGCTCCTGCGACTCACCCGGTATAATGTGTTGTTTTCATGAATAATCTGCAACTTCTAGATGAGTGCTATCCAACAGTGCTCTCAGCACTGTCTAGTATGGTAGTCACCAACCATGTATGTCTACTGAGCATTTGACATGTGGCTAGCATCTCTAAAGATATGATTTTAAAATTCCATTTACTTTTAATTAATCTAAATTTAAATAGGCACATGCTGCTATTGGATTGGAGAGTGCATTTTTAGGCCCTGAAGTCTCTACTTCCTGAGCAAAAATAATTGGTTTGAGTATATATCATTTTCTGGCTGTGTGGCTTTGGGCAAATAGGTTCACCTCTCTGTTCCTCAATATATCTTCCTTTTTAACTGGGGTAGCATGGCACTACCTCCTTGGGATGCCAAACAATGCTTGGATCAATGCTTGGATATATAGGTTTTATAATTCCATTTTATAAATGAGGACAGTGAGTTTTACTAACTTACTCTAAGTCACACAACTAAGAAATGACAGAAGTGGGACCAAAACCGAGTTTTCTTGACTGAAGATCCAGGACTCATTTCATACTACCACAGCTACTTGGCTATAGACAGCATTTGGGGCCCCGCTGCCATCTATCCCTTCACGTAGGTGCTGGTGCTGGGAGCTGGCAGGGCCACCTGTCTGCAGGGACCGCACTGAGCTCTTAATGCTCAAGGCCCTCAGCTGCCAGTCGCCTGAGCACACTCATGTAATCTTAATGAACAATGTGCAAAGCCATTAAAAACTCAATTAGGACTTTCTTTTTACTGCCGACGTGAGGAAATGCAATCCTGAGGTGCTCATGTGTAAACACAATAGCCGCCATCTGCTGTGGAGAAGCATTTTGCCTCCAAAAAGGGGATCTGTGTTGCAGACACATCAATAATGGGGCGCTTATCAAGGCATTATTATGCACGAAGGGGAAAAATGCAAAATTTACGGCCAGTCAGAGACTACTTCTTGGTTTAATTCCACAATTTTCAGTGCTATGTATAATAACTATGAAGAAACGAATGCTGTTTTATGTTCCTTATCACGTTAGTAGTTTTTTTTTTTTAAGGGAGAAGGAAAAAAGAATGTATTTACAGTCTTTCTCTTTCTTGTTTCTGACTGATCTTGGCGTAATGACCGGCTCATTTTTGATCTCCAGGAAACTGACAAACCTGGGATGATATTAATTATGCCAACCTGTTGATCAAAGAGGGCCCCACTGCGCTGCTGATCTAGTGGGGCTTTCACACTTGAACAGTCTCTAATGGCAGGCCTGTGCTCAGTTCAGAGACACGGCTTCCTTTCTTTCTGCAGGATGTGACTGGACCTCTGTCAGGTGTACAGTGGGCTAGATGTGGAGGTGGCTAGAGATGGCTGGATCCCTCCCCCGATGACACTACACTTGCATTGCTGCCTCTGTGCCTTTGCACGTGCTGTTGTCTCTGCTTCACGTGCCTCCTAATTTACCACCCAGGGTTGCTGCTGTTAGTGATGGTCCTATGCAGAGCATCTTGTAACTTTTCTTAGTAGCGGCTGTTTCGCATCTTATCCCCTTGAATAGAGGAACTTGTTGGACGGAGGAGCCAAGATAATGATAATGCTAGCTGTGGAAACAGTTAAACTTGACAATTTCAAGGGCTTGATAATCCAATAATAGTTTACTTTTTCTTTACCTAAAGTCCAAAATGATTTTCCTAATAGGAGGTGGTCTCTGGAGTGGTCATGGTCATTCAGGGAACTTGGCTTATTTTATTGTGACTCTGTCTTCCCTAGTCTCTTGAAATCCTGAACATTCAGCTGGTAGATGGGAAAAGAGAATGGACCAGTGATTCTTACACCTCGGTGTGCATGCAGATGACACATGCACACCGTGTAATTCTTGATAAAATGCAGATCCAGATTCAGTAGGCTTGGATGGATCTGAGATTCTCATTTCTAACAAGCCTCCAGGTGATGCTGAGGCAGCTGATCCAAGAACCATCCTCTGAGAGACAAGATAATGTAGGGTAGAGGTGTGGGGTGAGAGGGATGTGGCTTATATGGACCAGGCCCAGAAGTGGTGCATGTCATATACCCCAGTGACTAGAACACTGTCTCATGGCCCCACCAAATGCTAAAGAGACACTGGGTATGTAGTCCAGCCAGGCATGTGGCTTCATGGTTGTGCATGAAGGCATACAGCACAGGGTTATCTCCACCTCCTCAGGGAGCCTGTTCTGCTTCTGAAGCTAGAGTGGAAAGTGGGAAATATGAGCCATGGAAAGAAAACCTTTCCAACTCCCGCTGCTGTGGATTACACCTGGTGTGAACGGGCAGGAGGAAAGGAGCTGGCATGTGCCTGGAGGCAAAAGGGGGACTCCGAGTGGCCATGCTGCCTTGCTTCTCAGGCTGCCTCCCCTGTTGGGACAAGCACACTTCTCTGTGGTAGGGTCAGTCACCCACCCTTTGTGGGTCTTGTGGGTCATTACTTATCTGACCAAGGAAACTGGAACCCTGTGGGATGTAGGCCAGCAGACAGATATAAGCACGGATACAGACTCAGTCTTATCTCTGAGCCTCAGTTTCTCCTCCTGCAGTTGTTCCTTCCTTGCTGCCTCACTGGGAGATAATGATAATTACATAGCATGTGACATGGAGATAACCTCTCCACTTACCCTGTGTTACTGCCAGATCATGAGAAACTTTACTCGCTTGCAAACACTGGCAAATATACCACCTTTGCTTCTCTTCCAGTGTCTTCTACTGCAAGAGGTGAGTGAATGTTCTCACTGGAAGGATGGTGAAAATCTGATAGACATTGGTTGAGGTTTCTCCATGTTTGCCACCTTGTTCCATGTTGACTCCTTTTTGGTTCCAGCCCATCCAACTGCCCCAAGTGGTCATCCTGAGAGGCCAGCTCTAGTCTTGGGGGTCTGGGCAGAGACAGCGGGTGGAGTTCATGGTCATTCCTATGCTCTGCTTGCTGGATCATGGAAGAAAATGCAGAAAGTCTAATTTGGCTTCAAGTCCAAGTTACTTTACTTTGGGAGGAATAAAGTCGAGGATTTGAACCTTCTCTCTCTCCTGCGTGTTCTTAAATTCATTCAGAACCCAGAGAAACAGCATTTGATTGATGCCCTCTAGGACCCCAACAAGATACAGATTGCCCAGCAATTATTAACTGGAAGCTGTTAGCCTTTTTGGTATTAGGCTAAAAGAATGAGGTGAAGTGGCTCATCTTGGCTGAGGATAGGTTTCATTCTGAGTTGAAGATTTTAGTGGTTAAGATTTCAAAATAACAGTGGTTTTCTAGGTGGAAATATTCTCCTTAGAATCTCCTGAATTTATCTTCTGATAATGCAATTTATTGTATAGAATCATAGAACTATAAGCCACAGAGTTCAGCCTTCCCAGTTGATTGTGAAATTTCTTTAGGCATCTTTTCAATTTGTCCAGGCTCTGTTTAGTTGTCTTCATTGATGGGGAGCTCACTTTGTCTCTGGTCAATTCATCTCATTTTGTACCAACTTTCCTTGTTAGAAAATTCTTTGTACGTTGAACTGAAACGTATCTCCTCATGGTTTCTTTGTGAGTCTGCCCTTTTACCAGGCGGCTATATCAATTAGTTGTTGCCACAATAATGCCGAAGAAACTCAGCAGTAAATAACAATAAGCATTTATTTTTTGTCATGTGGGCCTGTGCATTGACCGTGTATCGGATGATCTTGGTTGGGCTTGGCCATGTGACTGTGCTTCTAGCTGCAGGAGTGGCATGATTTGGGTTTTCACTATCAGTTGAGGTCAGATTTCATCCATATATGTTTGTCCTTGATCCCAAGCTGAAAGGGGCAGCAGTTACCTGGGGCACATTCTTCTTGTGAAAGTACAAAAATACAAGAGGGCAAGCCCAGCTAGGCAAGCACATTTTAACCTTTGCTTGAATCATTCTGTTTGCATCCTGTTGATCAAAGCAAGTCAGAGTCAAGGGGTGGGGACACACCCTCTGCTTCTCCTAGGAAGAACTGCAAAGCCAATGGCAAAGGACTTGGATCCAGGGATCAAAAAATGGGAATAACCATTTAAACTGTCAAAGCAACTCAAAAGAGGCTCACTTCCTATCGATGAGGCAGCCTTTTTAATGCTGGGAAATTGTTATATTTTCTGCAAACAGTAATAATAGCATAAGTTTTGAGGTTGGAGGGAATCTAGGTCTCTCCCTCCCTGTTTGAGTGGCCCAGATCAGGTCACTCAATCATTAAGTAAATTAAAATTCTCTATATCCTAGGGTCACTCTGAAAATTACATTGAATAACATATGAATAAGACACCTAAAATCAGCATTGATACCCTGTAAGTGCTTAGCAGGGATCACTTACCTTCCGTTCCACCTGAACATCTTTCACTTGGTCCTCACATTTCTTCAGTGTCTTCCTTGACTATTGAATATGCTTTTATATGTTCTTTTAAAATATGTGTTCCGTGTACTGAATGCAATACTCCAGGTGGAATATGTTGTAACAATGGTTGTAACAATGGCATATTGTAGAGGTTCTGCCTCCATATTGTAGAGGTTCTGCTTCCATTGAAACAGCCCAAGTTTGCATGAGGTTATATTTCATCTCATTTCACCTGCAGAGATAGCAGGTGACTAAATTTCTGGGGTTTTATTCCATGCGTCCTTCAGGAGTAACTGAATGGGATGTTTCTTCTGTGAATGTTTGTGAACTGTCTACCTTAAATCAATACATGATACCATCTCACAATTCCTAAAACCACCTTATTGGATGGGATTTTTTTATTCCCAATTACAGAAGAGGATACTCAAGCTCAGAGAGATGTGACTTTCTCAGGATCAACCAGACCCTCCTAGAGTGACTTGATCTCTGGCCACTCCTCTGGCCACCATGCTTATGGGTGTGACTGATTTTCAGAAGGATTTTCTTTCTCTCTCCTTGTCTCTACTTCCCATGCCCTTTGTGGGTCTCCAGGATCCTTTATGATGGTGAACAGCTCTGGCAGAGCCTCTGGCCAAAAGGCTCACCTTCTCCTGCCAACCCTGAAGGAAAACGACACCCACTGCATCGATTTCCATTACTACTTCTCCAGTCGCGACAGGTCCAGCCCTGGGGCTTTGAATGTCTACGTGAAGGTGAACGGGGGCCCCCAGGGGAACCCTGTCTGGAACGTGTCTGGGGTCGTCACCGAGGGCTGGGTGAAGGCAGAGCTCGCCATCAGCACCTTCTGGCCACATTTCTACCAGGTATGACATTTTACTGTGGTTTGATTTTTAAAAATGAATACTAGATCCTTACAGGTGCTAGTACTAGAAAGGACTTCATTTTTTTATCCATGTGTACTAGAATTCTCCTACCTGGTTGCAGAGTTGATCCCACATAGCCCTTGCCTCTCTGGAGATCTTCATTTATAGGAGAATACTGATACGTAAATAAAATTACAATATAGCAGGACACATGTGCCTAGCCAGGGTGCTGGAGATACATAAGAATTGATTTCTTTTCGTAAACTCAATGCGTATAGCAACCTGATGAGGGAAGTCCTATTACTATCCCTATTTCACAGATGAAAAGATTGAGGTTCAGAGAGAGAAGATACTAGTCAAAGATCACCCCTGGGGAGAGGAGTGTTTGGCGGGGAAGGCAATTAGGATGACTCTTAAGAAGAGATGCCAGTTAGGCTGAGTCTTGAAGGATGAATAAAAGCATATCGAAAAAGGTAGGGAAAGGCATTTGAATTGTCAAGAAAAGTATGTACAATGGGTTAGAGGAGTGAGTGACAGATTATAGCAGAGTTTGAAAATTCCAAGTTGTTTAAGGGAACATTGCAAAAGAGATATCTGGGGGGAGGATCAGCCTGCAGGAGGAAGCAGATCATGGGGGGCTTTGAATATCAGGCTAACAGATAGAACTTATTCTCTACTCTAGAGCAATGTTGTCCAAATGGTCTGTGGTGTAGGGACCACATGTTCTTCCAACTCATTGTGAAGTATACTTTTATAAATCATAATAAAAGATGTGGCAGCAATGCCAAATTTCTGTAACAGTTTCTAAACATCTCTCTCACTTTCTCTACTTATCTCCTTGTGGACTGATGCACACGGTGCACAGACTGACCCCAGTCCATAAAGCATGCTTTGAGGAACATAGCTCCTGGTCACCTTGACCTGGGACTGCTGAAAGTCTCTCTCTCTCTCTCTCTCTCACACACACACACACACACGCACGCAACAGTGTTATTAAGGTAAAGTTTACATATCATAGAATCCACCTTTTTAAAGTGTGCAATCCAATAATCTTTAGTAAGTGTACTGAATTGTGCCAGCAGCACCATAAAGCAGTCTTTGAACATTTTCATCATCCCAGTAAGATCCCTTGTGCCCATTTGCAGCTAATCCTCACTTGCATGGTTGACAGGTTTTAAGTTAGAAAGTGATGCAATCAGATCTGTATTTTGGAGAAATTTCTCCAGTGTCTGAAGCCGAAGATGGACATGAGGGTGGCAAGCTTAGTGGCTGGGGGCTTCTTGGACATTCTCCAGTTCAATATCCATGGTAGACCTCTTCAGATTTTAGTGCTAGGAATACATTTATCTATCGAGATCATTTGTTGGGTTTACCTTAATAAGACAATTCAAGCTTTATTTCCCTTTTGCCTTGGCAACAAGAAATCAGAATTTTATACTCAATTACTCTCAATACTCAGACTGGATTTTTGCCATAAATATTTCTATTGTATTCTCAGTGGCTTGTGATTTAGTTTTAGAATAATTTTATTGTCCCTTGTTATATTTCTTGAAGTTCCTTTCAAAAATAGAAGTGAGATGATGCAGATGACAGTAATAGTGGTGATGGTACAATGATGGTGAAGATGATACCTGCCATTCATTGGGTGTTTACCATGTTTCAGGCACAGCGCAAAATAGTTTGCATATGTTTCCTTGTTTAATCTGCAAGATAATTCTTTGAGGCAGGCACTGCTATACCCATTTTATGGACGGTGAAACTAAGACTCAGAAATGGTGATAACCCAAGTTCAAATGGAGGAAGAGCCTTGTTTTGTACCCATTCTGTTTGATTTCACAGTCTAAGCTAGTACAATCCAATGTAAAAATAATGGGAGGCACATAAGTAATTTATAATTTTAGTAGCTATATTTAAAAAGTAAAAGGAAATCATTGAAATCAATTTTAATGACATTTTGTTAACCTAATCTATCCAAAATACTACCACTTTAATGTGTAATCAATCTCAACAGTTATTAATAAGATGTTTCCCATTCTTTTCCCTATCAGTCTTCACAATCCAGTGTATATTTTATACTTACAGCAAGTATCAATGCGAGTGCTCCGTTCTCAATAGAAATGCTGATCTGTATTTAGATCTCATTAAATGTACAGCTGAAGAAGTGGTTTCATATACAAGTTGTCCCAGACATACTTAATAGTTTTCCAGTAACTGAATTGAGCATCTGTTTTAAAATTTGAATTTAAAGTAATTAAATAAAATGAAAATTTCAGTTTCCGGGTCTCATTAGCCACGTTTCAGTAGTTAGTGGCTGTCGTAGTAGTACAGATGGAAACTCTTAACCACTTGGCTCCACAACTTCCTCCAGAAGAGTTCTCGAAAGGCTTGGCCATGCCTGGAACTCGCGGGTGGAAAGATGAAGGGTGTGACTCTAACACTGGACTCTCAGAAAGAACGTGGGCTTCCTGGTGAGCTAGTTATGCTAATTCTCATATTCCATTGCTGGAGAATTGTGCATTTGCTTCTTGTAGTCTCTGGATCTGAGTTTGAGGGTTTTCTTAAGGTTTATATTTTGGAATCTTTTGTCAGGAGACTTAAAGGAGACAACATACTTTTAGCAGGGACTGCCAAACAGTGCAAGTTTCTTCCATGACCCCAGAAAGCTGAAAAGCAGTCTGGGGAAGGGACCTAAATAGTATTGTGACTACATTTCCTTGAGTCCTCTCCCACCCTGATCTCCTCTGCCCATCCATGGGGTGGACAAGGAGCAGAGGCAGGAGGTAAGGAAAGTTAGAGACTAGAGAGAAAGGAGGAAGTGATAAAGAGAAGAAAAGAGAAAAAGAGAACACAAATCCTTGGAAGAACTCATCAAAGCATCCCTCAGTCACTCACTCAATATATTTATCTACTTGTCAGTCGATTAGCATCTTGTGCAAGCCAGGCAAGAGACAGGCATCAGTAATATGGAGGTGAGTTGGACAGAGCCTGGCCTTGTAGTGATCAGTGTGGACTGTCGTCATGTTAAGGCCTCACTCCCTTCTTCAGAGCAGCAAGAAACTATCACTGGGAGTAGCTAAAAGGAGAGACCTTTGATTTTAACACATGTGTCACCAACAACGTGATGTGCTTTATCCTAGATGTTTTGAGACAAATTATATACTTTTGGCCTCATTATTTCTGTGTGTCTTTCCCCTTTGTGTAGCATGTTTTAACACGGTCCTTTATCTGAAACTCATGGTGTCAGATACATGTCAGAATTCAGAATACTTGAAATTTAACGGGTAATATATTTGCATATTCTGTATATTTCATAACAACCCTAGTAGGGTCTTAGGCAGCACCCTCAAAATCAAATAATATTTTACAGCAAAACTTACACATACACAAGAATTGGGATAAATAAAGACTAAGTAGAGTCAGGCCAGCTCATTTTGGGTTTTACCACCAAATTACTTTATAAAATCACTAAGGTGAAGTATGTTGTTTTCAGAGCTTTTTGGGTTTCAGAGTTACATGAAGAATCTAGCTCTATACTCTCTACCACATGATTGCATGAATGAGGGGAGAAGACCTTGCCTGTACATCTTGGGAAGAATCCCCCCTGCATGACTGGTCGAGCATGTGCTATGTAACATGTGCCCCCAATATACTCTGTAGTGAAGGCTGAGGTGGTCAACTCACAGCATTTTGGAAGAGCCACATGGTGTGTTCCCTTCTAGGAGACTCACAATTAGCCAAGTGGGGGTTCTGAGGAGTCAGAAAGAACCCCGTTTAAGGGTGTTTAATTTACCCTCCCCTCTCTAAGTTTGAGCTTAAGCCCTTTTTTGGTCACGTAAGCACTTTCCCACAGGGATGATATCTGGAGATAGTGACCCTACATCACAGGTTACTGGGATTGCCCTGATTTACTCCTATTGTGCCCCAGTTTCAATGATACATTCTATAGTTTTTCTATTCATAAAGGTTTACATTACGTGTATTAGCATCTGTGGTTCTGGTGTATCCTCATTTTGTGCATATGGCAAACACTTTTCTGTTAAGGGCCAACCAAAAAATACTTTTGTCTTGGCAGGCCACATAGTCCCTGTTGCAATTAGTCAACTCTGCTATTGTACAGTAAAAGCAGAAATAGACAATATGTAGATGAATGGACCTATCTGTGTTCCAACAAAACGTTGTGTACAAAAGCAGGTGGTGGGCTGGATTTGGCATTCCAACCATAGTTTGCTGAACACTGTTGTCAGTGATAAACCTGACTTCCAGAGTTGGACAAAGAAGTCCAGGAGCACATTGCAAACTGCTGGCATGGCTGGGGCCAGACTCTAATACCTTGGTCTCTGGACTGTACCCAGTGGATCACTTAGTACAAACATCAGGTATCTCTGGTGTATCCCCAGTGAGGCTTTAAGGTTTCAATTAGAAACTCTCTATCTAGGATGGGACCATAGGTTTTAATACAATGAGCAAGAAAATTGACCCTGGAGGGGACAGTCACCCATTTGCCATGCTCTTCGATGGAGTGGCGGGAGGTGGGGTGGGGTGGGGGCTTTCCTGAGCATCCTTTCAAGCTCTATGAGAGGCATGAGAACTATATAGTAGCTCTCTATCTTACATAGTAACTTGTCCTGTCCTCTAGAATTGGGGACATTGCTGATAAATTCAAGTCCCTATGATCCTGTCTAGGCCCTCTGGCACCAAGTTCAGCACCCCACCTTTAGGAAAAATAGCTTGCTCTTTCTGAGAATCTTCTGTTTGCTAGCTGTGTAATGTGAGCTATATCCCATCATCATTTGGAATCATAGTTCTCTTGTTTGTAAAATGGAGAGGATGTTAGGTATAATGATGGATCCCTCTATGGGTTAGAGAACATACACTATATAGAGTGTCATGTCAGGCTTGCAGTGGGCCCCAGAAGTTGTTGGAAATGAAGGAAAAAGAGAGAAGGGAGAAGGAGTAAGGAAGCCTTCTTTAAAGAAATAGCTACTGTTGTTTAGTCTATA